ATTCAATTAATGTTCAGATATGTATAAATTTTATACAAAAATTGTAACAATGACCCCGTATTAACACAAATACAAAATGTTTTTACTGTAGATATAGTTTCGAGCTCCGACTTATGAAACGAGGGCGAAACCATGCGACGTTGCCCTTCTCATTCCGCCCAGTTTCTGTATCTTATTTCAACGCTTCGTATATAGCGTAATGTCGAATAATAAGCAGCCAAAAGCGCCCGGCGTAATATTACGTCGGATCGTGGTAGATAGCGCGGTTCCTCGTCTGCTAAGTTTCCCTGCTCAAACGGGGTCGTCTTGCCCGAAGGGCGGCTTATCGTGGCGGACTGCAACCGCTGTTCGAAATTTCCCGGAACGCCTACGACTCTGCTGTACTCTCGTCGTTCGCGAAGCCAAATTTCCGGCCATACAAGCACATATCTAGCGAGTTTCCCGCGAATTGCGAATAGGACGTCGGTCGCGAATGCGGTAGTGCTTGCAACGCAAGGGCAAACGAATCGGTCCAAGTGGTATTTACAAGGAAAATACGAAGAACTCAGGAAAATATCACGCCTAAAAATACTTTATCGACTAACAGAAACTAGCGATTTGTACCGAGACCATTTCGAAGAAAAAGTTTAAAACGGTTATTTTATTTTTCGTGTTGAAAATTGACTATTGCTAAACATTTTTGCAAATACAATGATATACGCGTACCCTTTAGCGTAATAAATTAAAACGACACAAATGCATCATGACATTTATGCAAAATACTTTTAATGCTCGCATTCTATGGATAATATACGCGCATGGTTGTGCGAGCAGCCATGCCTCTATGCTGCACAAATGTGTCGCGTGATTTATCGTTAAGCGCATATACACGCGTTCGTATAGGCAAATTCATCGGAAGATGGAATCACATGATTACCTGCTGTGTATCAAGCACAATACCTGGAAGCAATGATGCATAATACAAAGCTCTCCCTTTTCGCTCCTGTCGGACGGTCGAGCGATCGAGGTCTCCTCTTTCCTTCACATTCGCGACAGTTGCGATATGTCCACAAATAATATCGGTGTGGTCTCAGTTCACCGACAAATAGTAGATTAAACCGGATCTCGTAATTGTGCTATTGTGAATATCATTTATGCATATCGTACGATTGTCAGCTGGATCGCCGACACAAACCACTTCCGTGACTTTAAGTAACTATTACGCCGAGTCTGAGATATCTCGATAGCATTCGTATTATAAGGAGATTAAGCGGATCGCATTTCATAAGATACTGTGTATAGCTGAATTGCTTCACCCTAAACCAACAAAGTTTTAAAAGTTTTTTTATCGTAAAATTTTTTTTATACTTCGGCTACTTATAGAAAATCGAAATTTTACTTGATAAGGCACATTGATTATGTTTTACATAATATATTATATATCGCTCCTTTATTTTAAGGGACACAACTAAAAAAACTAAATTACCTACAAAAAGGGAAAAATTATTTTTCAATTTGACTAAAAAATTATTGATTAATTAAGTAATATTGGCTAATTAAAAAGAGAATATATTTTTAATATGACCAAATGTCATTTTTGTTTTACGATTCTTAAAAAACGAACATCTTTTTTTAGTTGTGACGATTTTGACGACTTTGTATGAATTGAAGTTAGTTCACTTTTCATGATTGTTAACCCTCAAACGACACACTGGTGCGAATTCGCACCAGCAAAAATTTCAAAACACTGATATTTTCCCCACAACGGTTTCCAAGGTCTATTCCTACGACAACGTTAAATATGTCTGTTCCCCAATGTAATCACTATGCATAAACAGATATTCATTTGCTTTCGTGTAGCCGAGTGAGAAACTTTTGAAATCTTAATTGGTGCGAATTCACATTAGTGTGCCGTTAGAAAGTGCCAAGTTGTGGTTTGTCTAAAATTTGAAAACACAGTTTTTGTGCCCTAAACAACATCTTTGTCGAAAAGGTAAGTGAATTTGTTTATAACTACGACAATAACTAATAAAAAATTAAATAAATATGTAAATCAAAAAATTACTTAGTGAAAAACGAGAATGATACAATTACTCAATTGATTTCAACATTGTTCGACTCTACAATGTAATTATAATATTATTTAAATTATGTTAGTTATTCATAAAATTTTACATAAGAAAACACAATTTTATACAATAATATGCTTGTGTATTTTCAATATTAATGTATTTACTGTTCTTTATCTGTGATATACCACATTCGAAAATACCACAACTTCGACCAATTGGAAAAAATATTTAATTTATTTTTATAGCATCGGCATAATGTTTTCATAAAAGTATATACATTTGACTAAAGAATCGCGTTGGTCTTATTTCGATTGCTTTTAGTTAAAAAAATAACTAATTTCTATTTTTCAAAACATATTTTTCAAAAAGATCTTTTTTTAATAACAATTTTTTTTATAACTTAAGAATAATTTAACTAAATTTGAGTTGCACCAATCGCTTTGTTGAGAAATTTTATCCCGAGAAAGTATGGTTTTGAAAGTATTTTGAAGAATATTATCATGGTTAAATAGGTAAATTAATGAAATCACAAAATTCCAATTCGCACCAGTGTGCCGTTTATGGATGCTGGGATGAAGTGTGCCGTTTGAGGGTTAAGATCACGGAGTAATAAGTGTATGTATGTATGTATGTATGTATGTAGTAGATACATACGTGTGACCTGTGACCACGTGACAGTCAATACTTCCAACTTTTCCCGCAAGGCGTGATGACACTAAAATCACATCTGCCGAATTTTCCATGGGTTTTCCTACACCATGTTTCAAGCCCACTTTTTTCGTGACCGGTCGCTTGAGTTTGATCTCCTTCTTATTACTCTGTGGTTAAGATAATATTTATTTATAACTATACTCATAGTAATAACTCAAAAATCATATTTTTAAAAATTATGTTTTTTTTAAGGAAGTACATACATGGATAATTCAACTTCTATACAGAATTTTTTATTTTTCCGAGAAATAACGAGAAATGTCGAATTCCCGTAGAAGTAGGAGAATTTCCTCTACTATAGAATTAGAGCAGTCAGAAATGTACGCTGGTATATAGAATGTTTACAGAAAGTATAATGGGAGTTAGTTGGGCAGACTCGAGCAAAGCTGTATTATCAACTTTTTGATAGTGTTATTGTCACTAAAGAAGAGATTAAAAAGAGATTCAGAAACTTTACTCCATTTGCAAGTCTAATCAGTGACAACACGCTTTCCAAATCTTAAGTATATGAATATACAGAAGTCATGAATGACCAAAAGAAGATCGGTGATCTTCACCGAGCGATATCAGTCCCAAGACTTTTATTCTGCAGGCATAGCAATGTTGTCAAACGATTAGAGAAGTATCAGTATATGCAGAGGGATTACTTGGAAAAAGAATCCTAAATTGAGCCTAAACATATATAGTTATATCCTCGTTACTGAAATTTCGAACGGAGCCATGTACTATTGAATTATCACCCCCCATTCGATAGAGCAAAGTTTCAGCTTTAGGAATCTGTTTAATTGCGGTAGACGCGATGATTTTTAACGGGACTATGAACAATCAAAATTAAAATGTTTCTTTCATTTAATCCGGTAATTCAGTAACATAAAATCTTAGGAATATTAAAAAGAAATAATTTTGTAGAGGAAACTTTAAGGTTTCACGTTAGAGAGTTAAACATTTTCGCAAATTTCTTTTTGAGCACGTGATAAGCCCACACAGTGAGAAGAAAATTTTTTATTTCGTCTCATTCGTAATTTGCTATACGTATAAATTATCAAACTCATAGAAACTCAAAAATAATCTTTCCAAAGTAGAGATTTTAAGCTTTAGAACCTTTTTTTAAATTTAAATTTCATTCATTTTTAACGAAGCTACATTTGAATTTTGGAGTTTACAGCGCTATAAATTTTTGTTTCGACACAATACACTGTTATTTGAGTTATATTCTATTTTTCCCTTTTTATCTTTCTCCTATATAGATATGATAGACATTTTTATATAAATGGAATATAAAATTGCCCTTTCATAAATAAAATGAATTAAAATTTAACGTTCTCCAAATTATGGCGGAAATGTCACATGTCTGTAAACTGCATTAGGTACAGTATTAATCAATACATATCACATTAATAAGAAACATGAGAAAGTATCACCTATATACATTTATCGCTAATCACGTTCTCACCGAATATCATGGACTAAAAAAATCATCGCATAACATCGATAAAGATGCAAAGAGTGGCAACGTATCCATTAAACTTTCCTATTCTCTGGATCGCGTGTTTCCGCAACTCGTCGCGCACGTGTTTCTCTGCCGTTTTGCGATTCCATTTGCGTGTTACGAAGCGCGTCGTTTCGAATCGGCAGCGGTTCGATGGCTGTGCTCGGATAACGACGTGAGCTGTACAGAGTCGTGTTGGGACATTCGTCTATCCGCTCGGGGTCTCGATCGTTCATGCGTGCTCGTATGCGGAGTCGGGACAAACGGACCGCTTTGTAAACGCGAATTTCGCTCGTCGCGTAGTCGACGGTCGACGTGGTTCCGGTGGCTTCTGTTCTATCGCGATTACGCGCTTCCGTTCCGCGTGACGCGATCGTTCGTGCCGCGCTGTGAGAATCAACGCGCGGCATTATACACACATATAGGTACTCCTGACAGGCCGAGCAGGATACGCGATGCCTGACAAAGGGTCGGGGGTGAATGACGGTGGAAGGTTGTAAAATGAAGGAAGCAGCGATTCGAGCCGCGCAGCCACGACCGCAGGCTTTTACGAGCACGCTGTTACCGAGCTACTTTGATAAGTTAATTGAACGCATTCACAACGCATTTCATGTGTTTTACTAGGTTTTTACGCCATCCAGGTTACACTGATGCCCTGATGGTCTGATTGCGCAGGTGTACCATAATAGGAATTTCCACATTTCTATAAAGATTTAATTAATGGCAGACTGGCTTTTTGCACGTATAAGTTTTTAGTTATAAGCGATCAAATTCAGTCAAAATATAAAAATATTTTACTTTTTATTTATTTTTTTTTCATAATCATTATTGATGAAAATTTAGTTTGTAACGATTAAAAACTATAAAATATATAAAATATAAAAAGTTACAATATCTACGTGATGTTGATAAGAAATAAACAATTTTATTGAGAACGTTTATTATTAAAATTTAATATAAAATTAAATAAAAGAATTTTTTCAATTTATAGTTTAAAAAAAATTTATCTATATTTTCTGAAAAATTGAAAGTAATAAATTAAATAAATAAAAGAGAATTTATGGTATTGTGTGGTGTGGTCTATAATTATATTCCTAATACTTTTTGTTGAAATTATTTCCGTAAATCTTCCAAAGCATTACATTATTCTTGTTACGTGGTCAATATTTTTGTGAAAGAAATTAAAAAAAAGTTGATTCACTGAAATAGTACACCGACGATTATTTGTAGTTTTTTTGTTTGGCGAAGAGATTTATGATAAAAGTTTTGCGATATATACACGCGTACACAGTGGAAATATATATTTCCACAAAACTTTTCGTTCCATTTATAGAAAAACGAAATTAGAGATGAACGCTATCGCATAAGTTCATAAAAAACTAGGTAAAGAATTAGCTTTTGAATTGTAATATAAATAATAATAAATATATAAGTGTGCATTACGTCAAATATGGTCGTGCCATAAATTTGTTAATAAAAAATAGATTTATCTTATAATTATAAAATAAAAGGAAATAGGTATGTAACGTATACTTGTTCTATTAAATTAATCAATCTCAAAATAAAAATAATTATAACTCAATTAAAAATATATCTCATTAATTAAAACTATAACTTTTATCTTCAAAAATTTCTTCAAACAATCGATCCTCATGATTTTTTAAATATTTACGACAATTTAAAAAAAGATTGTAAATAAAACATTTCTCTGTTTCACGCAAATTATGATTTGCGATCTAAAAAATTAAAAACCTTCTTTTTTATATAAAGTTCAAAGTCACTTTGATTTCTTTAAATAGTACCATACGATTTTTTCCGTAATATTATTTGAAATAAAATTATATTATTTAAATCATTTTACTTATTTCATATTATTATTAAAAGCTTCATTTCAAACGTGTATTGTAACAATTAATTATTATAATGATTGATATTATTGAGGTTATCATAAATATACAATAATACGTCTGAATATTCTTTCTTCTGAAGCAAGCTTCCATTCATTGAATTAATGACTGTTGAACTTTTTCAAATATTTCCTACTATACTAGAAATAATGAAATAAATAAATTCTGTTCGTAAATCTTTGAATGTTTATAACTTTTTAATAAAATATTTTCGGAAAAAAGTTTACATGGACTTTTTTCACTTACTCCTCCTCATTGTATACTGTATAAGTTTAATCTCGGCCTTTACAGATACCTTATATAATATATTAAAAATTAATATTAAATATCACAAGCAAAAAGCGTACTGACGGGTTTTCTTAATGATGCGTTCATGATTACTTTGGGCGCCTGTTATGTGATATGCTCTTTGATATCTCGCTTCTGAGCCATTCATTAGCTATCTTATATTTGACTTCGTAAAGTATTCACTTTAAAATATTAGCAATTAGTTTTCGTTATCACACAATTTATTCAATACAAGATCTAGAAATTTCCTCGTTCTTAATTAATATAGAGACTATTGCATAGAGTAAGTTTCATCATTATATACAAGCTACCATACGAGAACCTATCAGACAGGAAAATCGCACCAGAATGGGTAAAGGATGGCGCGCAGCTACCCGCTCTGAATATCGCAAAGTCAAGGAGTTGACTCTCGCCGGTTTCTTCGTAATAACTCTTTTGGCGTCTACAATTAGTGGTTAGTCCTGGTTGCTTGCACGCTGAGCACGTCTGCAAATGCTTCATAAAGCGTTACACTCCGCCGAGAAGGGGTTGAGGTTCCAAGCCTGAGGCGTGCTCCACTTCGTCGTCTTCTCGCAGGTTCAGCCAAGGTTGTTAAACGAACGAAAGTAAGACGACGAGATGATGTGGGCGGGGAAGAGAGAAGGTTAAACGGGAAAGTGGATGGTCCACCGAGGGACGTTGGCGCCGTTGTAGGTAAGTACGTGGCTACGTATGAGAGTACGTTTGCCAGTTAGTTGGCGCCAACGTAGGTGTTAACTGACTTACGTTGCCCCCGGGGCGAAGGTCTCCCTCTATCTCTTTGGCGTGAAGGAAGTAATGAGGAAATAATTATGAGAGTACGTGTCAAGATTTTATAGTATTGCCCGCGAGAAGAAACGCAGCTGTGCCACCATCTATGCGAGTTCGTATTCGGCACGTTTCGCAGTCCGACATGACACAACCGGATTTACGACGGTCGATTCGCGACGCATTGAATTCGATTGGGGAGATAAGAGAGGGAGAGAGAGAGAGAGAGAGATGTGGGGGAGGGGGGCGGAAGATTCGATAAAAAGCACAAGCGTGGTGGATAAAATTTAATTTTTTTATTATTCTTGAATATCTTTGTATTTGCCGTTATTGCACTATGAATTGCAAAGATTTCGAGGTGATTCGATAGCTTAATAAATAACTGACCTACTGAAAAGACATAAACTATGAGAGCGAGATTTAGTGCTCTTCTTTACTATACATGGAGCGATTAATATGCATTTTATCCTAATTTAGCTTTATTTCGTACTAAATGTGAGGTCGCGTATGAATTACAATCACTTAGAAGAGCAAGAGGGTAAGGGCACTTAATAATAATTACCGCGAAAATTATGGGGGGCGCTCGCTTTTACTACCATAAATAAGTGAGAAGGAAACGCGCAGAAGAGGGAAGTCATTTTTGCTACACCCTTCTCTTGGCTTTTCCGCTGGTAGTTACCCTTTCCATCCTCCTGCTTTTTGTAACACCCTCTCGTTTCTTATTTTAATCTCATTTTCTTTTGTATTAACTCTAATTTATGTCATACACGTGCTTCCAAAAATCTAGCGCTTGCTATGGTCCTCCTGAAACATTATATAGTAATATGTACTCCCGTATTCTATTTATCCTCCTGCATTATATCATTAACTTATACAGACTCTGTCACAAAAATATTGCCACTCCTCTCAACTGCAGATACGAAGTAAGACAAACGGTAGTTGCCGTCGGAACAACGATAGCTTTTGACTTATAAAAGATGTGGAATGTTAAAGGATTATGGCAACTGACAGCCAAGTAATATAATTTAATTTATATAAATTGATTTAACAAATTTCTAAAAAAAATATACGTGTCGTGTTTAAAGAATATATTCTCGTACATTTAAATTGCCGTTTCTTTATTTCTCTCTTACATTTTTGTATTGATTCAACAGCGTTAAATTCTCAATCTAAATTCTTTTAATTTATCTAAGCAACCGAGTTACAATCTCTTTTGTTGCAATAGCAAGAATATACTCTCCATTATTCGAAAATCACGTTTATCGTGCCCGCAATTACGAGACGTCATGGGATCTTCCCTCGTTGTCTTGATTTCTCGCGATTTCTGCTCAAAGGAGCTTGGGTCTCTCTCTCAGCCGCGGAAGGGAAAAATAATGAGGATAGAATTCCAGAAACAATCGTGGCTCCGAGTATCTCACCGTTCCTCTTTTAGGAATGCGTGGTTGATTGCGTGGATAGGGACTGCGAATTGTTATGCCCCGGGCGCGGCGATACCCTTAAACTCTTGAATGCTGGATTTCAATTTTTGTAAAACGTACATGACAGTTCACAAACAAAGCAGTTACCACCGTGAAGCATTGCCGGATCGGCGTGATCATTTAGTTGGTTTTACAATCGACAAGTGCATTTTCGATTATTACACAGCGTATGATTTCTTTTCGAACAAAAATCATATTACTCTCTTACTTCAAAAGTAACAAATAAAAATTGATTAATCAAATATATTATAAAAAGAAACATATTCTTATAATATGATCAATTATTATTTTTGTCATTTTCTTGCAAAACACTTAAAAATCATCCCTTTTAAATTATGACGGTTTCTTATAAAATTAAATCATTTTTGATGATTAACAGAGTAATGTTTACTTAACTCATTCATGGTATTAAAATCACGAGTTGCGTCACTTTCCACAAAGTATACTTCAGAAAATTGTAAAACCAATACTTTACAAATATATAAAGGAGTATAAAGCCAATGAGAGCCGACAAAGCTCTCATTGGCTTTATACTCCTTTATTGATTTAATCTTTGGAGCCTTTTCAATTTTAATTGTTCACAAATACAGGTTTTAATTAAATAATTAATCTTTCGTGGTCACACTGAGGTTAAAATGATCCTAGAGCGCATTTAACCAATAATTTTTTTTTACTTTAAAGAATGAAAACTGTAAGTACGCCCATCGGTTAAATGCGCTCAATTGGGGTCAATTTGATTTCGGTATGATCATTACAGAATTTTTTAGAGGTGTGATCAAGAAGGGTTGAAATATATATGTATGTATATATTCTTCAAAAGAAATTAACTTCTTTAGTATTATATATTAATAAGTTTTTCTAAAATTTGTAATAAACATATTTCAAAATTATTGTCAAGAAAATATTCTTTATTCAAGGTAACATTATTTTATAAAAAGAAAATAAATTGAATAATCACTTTTCTTAGCAATAGAATATTTTCGTGTGTGAACATTCTTTCGAAACGTGCAAATAAAAGGCAAATAAAATTTAATATTAAACGTGTGAAAATCGTGTACTTCGGGGAAAAGTCTTAGATAGATCGTAAAATGGTAGGTACCAAATCAACGAACCGAAAGCATCTGCTCTTACATTACATTTTTCCTTCGAAAAGAATGACTGAGGTGCTCATCGATCGATAGGACGCCTCATTGCTTTCGGACCCGATGGAGAAAAGATCGCAGACAAAGCTATCGCACGCTGTTTTGGCGCAGCGATCGCTTTCACATCTATGAGGTTCAATTTGATAGGACATGTCTTGTCGTTGCAGGAGCGAGAAATGCTACGAGTATTTGCAAAAGCTTCGCAAGCATTATTTTACGAGAGTCATGAGAGTACCAGGGATGCCGGCATTGCCGGCAGTTTAAGTTTTGCTCGACGTGTACGCGCGAAAGGTGTTCGTACGAAAAGCGTAAAGATGGATCAGGTGCTCCACGTCTCGGAATACCTTCGTGGAATTTATGATTTCGCCGTGCGGTATTTTCACGCCTCGTGTGATTTTCGTGCGCCCTTATCTCGCACGAGTTTGACGTTTGCAATACCGCGCGATCATTCGCCAGAAGATATTGGCACGTTCACGCTCGACCGCGGTCGATCGCGGGTAAAGCATAACGCCGTTTTTACAAATGCATGTCGTGATTATATTTCGATATGCGCGTGCACGTGGCACGGTACACGGCAATCCGTCGGAATAATATCGGGAAATATTGCTTAACCACTGTGCTCTCTACGGGAATTGGGTCGAAAATAATCCCCCGCGTTTATCGCCAATTACGCGCGGATTATTCGCACGTGAAATCGGAGGTGCCGAACGACGTTTGCGGAAAATATTATCAGAGATGCGCTTTTCTCTAATTTTCAGTTTGGGAATAACGTAAATGGTTTTGTCAATTGAATCCTTTAGCATTGTTATGTATACTATCTTGACCAAAAATATTATAATAGGCACTTTATTAACCATTTAAAGTTCGAGCTTAAAAATTGATTTATGATATTTGCTATAAATTATCCTTTATATTTCAAAAACCCTTTAAATTTATGTATAATGCCTGTAACCAATAAATAATGCAGATACAAGAATTTCAGATAAATAAGTAAAATATTATGTTTCAAGACCGATAAAGTCTATAGAACTGATAATTGTATTTTTATAGTCACATACATGAATGTTATTAAGCATCAAGATCCACTTTGTCTGAAAATGCATTCTTTTCTCTTATTTATTAGGTGTACAACTTTGCTTCCGCCATTTTTTTTCCGAAATTCGAGGCTTTATTGTAAAAAACTGGTTATACATTTATGATTCAAAGTACTGTCAATCGCTGGCCACTACTTTCTCCCATCTTTCGGGTAGCGTACGAATCCTGCGTCGAAAAAACTGGTCATCTTTTGAGGCGATCCACGAATCGATCCAATTTTTTACTACTTCATAAGACCGGAAGTACTGGTCAGCCAGGCCGTGTGCCATTGATCTAAACAAGTGATAGTCGGAAGGAGCAATGTCTGGAGAATACGGCGGATGGGATAGGACTTGCCATTTCAACGTTTCCAAGTATGTCTTGACCACTTTCGCAACATGGGGTCGAGCATTGTCATGTTGCAAAATCACTTTATCGTGTCTCTCGTTGTACTGCGGCCGTTTGTCTTTCAATGATCGGCTCAAACGCATCAATTGCGTTCGATACCAATCGCCTGTGATTGTTTCAGTCGGTTTTAACAGCTCATAATACACTACGCCGAGCTGGTCCCACCAAATACAGAGCATGATCTTGGAGTCGTGAATATTCGGTTTGGCCGTCGACGTGGAAGCATGGCCGGGAACTCCCCATGATTTTCTGCGCTTGGGGTTATCGTAATGAACCCATTTTTCGTCCCCGAAAACTTTCTCTCTTCCATCGCTATGCCGGTCTTTGATGTCAAAATCACCGTTCTTGAAGCGTTGAAACCACTCACGACACGTTCTTTCATTAATAGCGGCCTCACCATAAGTATTTGAGAGCATTCGATGAGCCTCAGCCGCAGATTTCTTCATATTGAAGCAGAAAATTAAAACCTCCCGCAAATGACGAGAATTTGGCTCGTAAACTGACATTTTCAATCGAGAATAACTTTATGGTGCAGATACAAATCGACTAATGTTTCTATGGGGTTATGTTGACAGATGCCCAAGTTTATTGTATGACGTCTATGATCTATTTATTTCGACCACCACTTACCGCTAAAGCCATCTATAGGAAAACGGCGGAAGCAAAGTTGTACACCTAATATCTTTATTAAGAAGTTATAAAAAAAATAAAAAGTATGTAAAAAACAATTTTACCAAGTTTACACTTCAAATTGCCATTCACCCAATACAAGTCTAATCGATGTAATTTCGAATTTATTACTTTTTTGTGAAGACAGTGAAAAT